AATTTCTTACATGGCGTAAACTATTTTGCTTTGTACAAATTTTTTTCAAGGCTATATTATATGCACGATCATTTTGGTATATTTATACATTTTTTATTATTAATTACAGCTGTTTTTTGTACACTATTAGTTTTGATAAAGAAATCCGTCGCTCAGTTGATCTTTTTATTAAATTTTATCAACTGTTTTCAAATTTAAAATTGTAGTATACATTTTTATAATTGCAACTAGAATTCCATGTTTTACAACGGATAAAAAAAGTGTCGACGAATCGAGCAAGAAATTACTGTCGACGAAATAAGAATATCACACACTTTCCATTCTTGCTTTTGAATATTCTTTTTATTATCTGTTCACTAATTAATTTGGTATTAAATTGGTATATATATTCTTCTTGTACATATTTTCTTCAATTGGTTTGGTGATCAAAACACACTTTCCTCTATATTTATTGTCTTTGTTATGCTTTTGTTACTTACGGTTACTAACTGACTGTACCAAACATACCAATAAAAATGTGTGTATTTAGGCTGAGAAACAACAAGAATAATATCGACGCATAAAAAATACCGTTAATGAACATAAGCGTGAGTTTAGTATCATTTTGTGAAAAATTCTTTTTATCGCATGTGTTCTATCGTCGAACTGCAAAATTGAATTTATATCATTTATATTAAATAGTTACATGCACCGGTGTTCAATATGTGATGGATAATTATCACTCGCCATCAAACGGATATAACGCGCTGAACATTTGGAATAACTAACAATGTTTGTATTTTTAGTCAGGACGTTTATTTTGCCCACATTTCCTGTTTAAAAATCGGATATAAATACTTCTGTTTAGGTATGTGTATGTTTCTGCTTGCATGTGACTTTAGTTCATAACTACATTAAATCTAATAATTGACCCACGCTTATGCTCATTAATGAGTTTTTTTATGCGTACGTATTATTCTTGTTGTTTTTCTCATGAGGGAACCTTCCCAGGTGATACAAAGCTTTTATTGTTAAACCTAGTTTTCCGACGGTAACATATGATACTCAACACGAATCTGATTTTCGTTCAGGTTATTACTGACTTCATGAATGGATCTTTCAAAATCTGTTCTCTAGAGACCCATCATGAATCTGCGAACCGAGAGACTCGGATCATATCACTTTGTAGAACTCGTCGAGTTGCATATGTAGAAAACTTTTTTTAGCTATTAGGCAAGTTTTAAGGGAGCTACAAAAATCGTATTATAAAAAAACCTCAGAAGTTGGAGCTTTTCTTTGTAGCAGGAAAACCTTTGTAGCTCTGTTAATGTTTGCCCAATAGCTAAGAAAACTTGTCTACCTATGCAACTCGATGAGTTCTACAAAGTGCTATGGTCAGAGTCTCTTGGTTCACATATTCATGATGGGCCTTTATACACCAGGTTTTGAAAGACTCATTCAGGAAGTTAGTAATGGTCCGAACAAAAATCAGATTCGTGCTCAGCACCGTAAGTTACCATTGAAAAACTAAGTTTAACAATAAAAGCTTTGTATCACCTGGGAAGGTTGCCTTGTCAGTTTAATACACACATCTTTATTGGTATGTGTGGTACATTCAATTAGTAACCGTAAGTAACAAAAGCATAACAAAGACAATAAATATACATCGAGAGCCATTCTGCTGAACTACAGAAAATTCTACTGGAGGCTTATTACTGAATGTGTCTAGTGTCTGATTCAAGAACTTTTGCTGTAAACACGCTACGGATTCCTTCAATTTAGAAGTTCTTTTTCCTTGTCATCTATTTCTGAGACAGTCTTAATCAATGCGAGGTTTGGGCGACTCTGTTGTTTCAACGATCTCTCATATACAGGGTGATCCAAAAAAAACTTACCCCCTGTGTATTTATTGACTTTCTTGTGTACAAATATAATTGAACTTTTCACCATTAGTTTATTCAAATAGAGCAAAGATTTCTGGACAAAATGAGACGTCTCCGACCTCTCTAAAAACTTTTTTCATGAAACAGCATTGAATTTACGAAAGGTTCCAAGAGCATATTTTTCTTGTTTCCCCATTAATTGTCCCGATTTTGGTGGTATGGGACCTTCCGTAAATTCAATGCTATTTCATGAGAAAAGCTCTTAGAGAATTCGGAGACGCCTCATTTCGTCCAGAAATCTTTGCTCTATTCGAATAAACTCATGGTAAAAAGTTCAATTATAATTGTACACAAGAAAGTCAATAAATACACAGGGGGTAAGCTTTTTTTTGATCACCCTAGCTATACACATACATTCTGGTGCAATTTTGAACTTTTTTGAACTCATTCGCTTCCTTCAACCGTAATAACAGTTCTGCAAAATGGCTTTATATACTAGATACTTCCTTGTAAATATAACATATTGTTAAACTAAGTTTAAACTCATAGATTGTTATCTCTTTGGACATTGTTCCACTTGCGCTAATTACCCTCGTGTTCCCTCCTTCATGAGAGGTACAGGAATCTATTCTATTTTGTTGATCTTAAGCAATGTCACATTGACAAGCGTCAAAAATCGATGGCTCAAACATCGATTCACGCTAGAAAATGAGGCAGAGTTTTCGTCAAAGTATGAAGAAAATTCAACTTTTTCCCAGGCTAAATGAATGACGAAACTAAAAGCAATAATGAAAAATAATGCTTATAATCAAAGCATCTTATAGATAAAAAAGAAACTCTTTTTATGATTGACTCGACTTGTGAAATCGTCATTATACTCCGATCGAGTTGAATAAGTACTTTTATTGATTCATTGATGATTGTTGCTCAGAACTTTTAAAAATTATTACCAGATTAATAATTAAGGAAAATGAATTTTTATCAGATTAATATAATAGTATCAAATAAATTTGTGGCATTCTTTTTTTAGAAAAGCAAGAAAAGAGCATTTCTTAATACAGTACTTTCAAACACACAAACCAGCGTTAATTGTTTCTCTTATTCCTGCAGAACCCGTTCGTTTCGTCTTAGACAAGATCGTACATGTCTTTACACTCCTAAATAAATACTGAACAATATTATTAGCTGCTAGAACTATTCGTGATTCTGAGCGAAGCCAGAACCCCCTAAAATTTGAGCGAGCAGCGGTATAGTAGCGGTGGATTATAACGGCAGGGCTCCGTCAGATAAAATCGAGCAATGTACTAATGGTTACATTTGATCAATAATTACTTGCAACTATTCACAAATGGTAATTGATAAATGATTTTTCAACAGATTAAAGAAACCTGACCAATGTTCCTATCAAACTGGAATTAATGTTGAAAATAGGCACGATCATAATAAAAATTGTTTTTATTCTGCCAATTTTGATGTTAATCGGATAGAGGACATCAAGATGTGTCTATAAAAAAATTTGTCTCATGGAATTTTGAAGCAAAAAGTATTTTTAAAAGTATCTTGAACCAAATTGCGCTCGAAGTCAGAGCTGGACATGTCACGGGTTTTCCAAGTCACAAGTCAAGTCGAGTCACCAAAACTTTTCTCAAGTCAAGTCGAGTCAAGTCATGAGTAATAAAAAATTTTCTCCAATCAAGTTTCGGGTTTTTTCGAGTCAAGTCATGACTTGCATTTTTTTTTCCGCAGAAAAATGCCCAAAGCGGAGCTGGGCAGGTTACAGGTTTTCTATGAGCTTCGGCTTTTTGTTTAGATACGATGTTTCTTTCTCGTATTTCAAAAGATAATCATAAAAAAGACAATGCTCTAATGAGCCTAACATAGTTCATATTATTCATATTATAACAGGTTTGGACTCAACTGAGATACAATCCATATTGTAATCAAGTATTTCAGTTGAGAAACCATTATTTCTGCGAAAATATTCGTTTCTCAACCGAGACACAATTTTGACACGTGCCTTGAAACGTGCGATTGTGCAAGAGTGCAGTGTACAAAGGTCTATTATTCAATAGTGGATGAAATGAAATACGCATATGATGTATCTCTATCTAATCGCATGCATGCAAAAAACGTTCCAACAAAATCAGTTCTTATTCATTGCTCTCCACGTCTTATTGTGTCTGAATCACGAGTTTTGTGAAAAACGTCTAAGTATGCAAAATGGCGTGAAAGTCGTTGTGATTCTTGTAGATTTTGTAGAACTATTGAATAATAGACTTTTACACACTGCACTCTTGCACAACTGCACGTTTCAAGGCATGTGTCAAAATTGTGTCTCAGTTGAGAAACGGGTATTTTCGCAGAAATAATGGTTTCTCAATTGAGATATTTGATTAAAATACGGACTGTATCTCAGTTGAGACGTTACGTTATAACATCAACATTTCCAAAACATTATGAATTATTATTTAAAATTAGATTGCATAAGAGGTTTAAAAATATGCGTGACTTGACTTGATTTTTTATGCCGAGTCACAAGTCAGGTCAAGTCATGACTCATGAGTCATAAAAAATTCTCATGTCAAGTCAAGTCAGAAATTACTTTACTTGCCCAGCTCTGGCTCGAAGGAAGCATTTTCAAGGAAAAGTGTGAGTACAAAAGTTGTTCAGAAGCAGATTTTCTGGTATAAGGATGAAGGATTTTTCAAAATTCGTTAAACTAGATTTTTAAACTTTTAAAATTGTGTAAAATTTAATTTAAAAATCCAGTTGTAATCTTTTCCTTGAAAATGCTTTCATCGAGCGAATTTGATTCAAGGCTCAGAAGAAAAGAGAAAGTATCGTCAGAATTTTTCGCAAATTTTTCTATGAATAGAAACACCTAATAAATACGTAGATGGAAACTGTGAAACATCAAAACACGTTTGGAACAAATTATCAAAATCGCGTGAGAGCTATGCGATTTTCTACAAAAATAAAAAGATGAAATATACAAATTACTTTTACTTATTTTCTTTATTAAAAACAACAACAAAAACGATAACAATAAACTTTCTTTTCTGTATATTCTCACATATCTTGGCTAGACATTCAACTAAAGTTAAAAAGATAAAAAGAAATGAAAGAGCAACAAGAGCATTATTTATCGTCTTTTTTCTTCTTTTTTCTTGGCGAATTCGTTGTTACTACTGCAGATGATTGTGCAATCGATGAGGGAGAAGGAGGTACAGGGGAAGTTACCGTTGACGGCGGAACATTTGTGGTGGATGCGGTTGCTTGTCCTACCGCCGCCGCGGCTGTTTTTTTTTCTTTTTCTTTCTTTTTCAATGTGTCCATATTTGCTTTTAACAAGTTTGAATAGGCCAATTGAAAACGATTAACATCTTTAGCTGAAACAACGGTTGATAACTTTTTCGAACCGAATTTGGCATGAAGAAGACATTTATATTCAATGTGGGCACCCGTCGCTGGTGAATCAGATGTTGAAGGTGATGAAGCAGCATTAGTCGAGGTTGACTGTTGATTTTGTTGTTTCTTTTTATCGCGTGGCTTTGGTTTTGTACGACCATCGTAGCGTTTCATGTTTAGCAATAACGAGCCAACATTTTTTACACGTTGTTGTTGAAATAGTTTTGTTAATTCCAAGAGGAATTGATCATTTTCTAACAGCATCTTTTGTCTCTTCTAAAAAAAACAAACAAACGTCATGAGGTAATTGCAATGTTATTTCTTCTCAGTAATTTTTGTAAAAAAGCATTTTTTTTTTCGTTCTTCGATTAATCTTATTTTGGTTTTGTGCTAATAAAACCAAATATATTTGTATAAAAAGAATACACAACTTTTTCCAAAACAGTGAATATGTTCCAAAATCTTATTTCAAAGAGTTATCAAATGAGCAACAACATTAGCATTATTTGTCATGTTTCACAATTTGTTTACTTTATATTAGGCTATTGAACAAAAAAACTCAATGTATAGAAAAAAATGTAAAAAAATGAGAGTCATATTCTTTGTTTACTTATAACTAGTACAAACGAGAGATAAAAGCTCGTCAAGAATAAAACTAACATCATGTAAAAAATTCAGACAAATGCCGTATAGTACTTCGCTTGATGAGATAATGAGATTAAAAACTAGACATGTGTATCAAAAAAATAATAAAACCTAAATAGTCAAAAGACAAAAGTCAGCAAAAAACAAAACAAATATATGTCATAAAAAATATTGTTCAAACGTAACAACCAATATAAAAGCGCATGATTAAAAGAAAGAAGAAGACGATAATTCACCAATCTTTCGCTATAATTAATGTCCATTCCCATTCGGCAAATAAATTCTTATCATCATCACTTATTTTTGATTTGACAGAAAATGATCCTCGTGATAACTGTAAACAGAAAAAGCTTAAAAGTAAGTAAAAACTGAATGACACTTTAACATACCACTCCGCTTGGTGCCACTTCGACTTCACCTGAAGGAAAAATGGAAAGAGAATGAGCAGGATAAAGTGAAAATCTATCTATTTATTGTATTCATAGATGAAAAAGACGGTAGGATTCACTTTTTTCTAGTAGTGATGACATACCAAGATACGTCTGAAGATCGGGACTCGGAGCACGACTTCCTAGAAGAAAAAATAAATATGTTTAGACGTTTCTAGTTACACTATTGATGTTACACTCACCAATCATATACTTTGTTCTATCCACTGTAATCGTCTTAGCTTTCTTTATTTTTTGTGTAAAACTTAAACCGGTGACAATATCTCGTTGTACGTAATATTCTAGTTGAATACGATATGATTCTCCTTCTTTTATTGTTACACTACGTTTTGAATGAGCTTGTCGAATATGTTCTATTGATCCGTTTAAATCAAAGACAACATTTGGTTCATGATTTTCAAATATTAGGCTAATTCGTAAAGGTATAACAAGGCGTGGATCATTCGCATCAATAACAGTGGATAATTTCTGCATATCATTGCCTAATAGTTGTTTTTTATAACGATCTAATGAAGAATCATCAGCATCTCTGGAAAGTAATGTTTCTAGATGAACTTTCTGTGGTGGTTTATAACCTATTGCTGTTGAAGTATCATCATCTGAATCATGATCATGAGCGTCGGTTGAGTGTTGATCACCCGATGCCATTTCTTTTTTTCTACGCAATCAAATCTAAAAAAACATCAGAAAAGAAAAAAAAATTAAATCGACATTATTTCTCGTTTAGCCATTTTCGATAACAAAACAATACGGTCAAAACGAGAAGCTAAAAGTTTTTTTCATATGTTTTCTGTTTATCCTCATTAACTGTTGTCATTAAACGAATACTTAGATAGATAAGAACAAGGTGTACAGGTAGTATGAAATACCAAAATGTCGTTAATACATTTCAAAAGCTGAAAAATATTGTTTTTGTTGTGTTTGATAAACATTATTATCTTATATGATGTAATTAACATTTTCATTTTTATACTCTTAGTTCTTTTTTCAGTTAGGATTCTATTTGTAATTGTGGATGAGAACGAGTATGATATTTTCTATATTTTACACATCGTTTTCTTTTTTTCTCTCTGACAGTAAACATGAACAATTGACCGCATCCATACGAAGCTGAGAAGGAGAGAACAATAAAAAATATTGTGCACGAAAAGTAAGGAAATCGCCTGTTTCTGGTTAGCATACCACTTGTTAGGTTCCACCTAACTTGTTCGAATCTTGACTTGTATATACAAATGATTTATTGTCAAATCACAAGGACACTCTTCGTTCAAATACAAGCTTGTGTAGAGATATGTAGGATACAATAAAAAAGATAAAGTAACAGAAAAATATGATATAATATAAACAATGGTGTCACAGAGAGACATGATGAGATAGTGACTATATGAAAGATACATTTCCTAAAAAGGGTTATTTTATGTAACAACGCAATAGCTTCAAAGACATTGCAGTACCTAGGCCTATTTTAGATCTCCTGACTTAACAACAGTAAAAAAATCAACTAATTAACCTATAAGAATACGATGTAACGATGTCAATACAAATTATGCAACTAACAGTCATGTCAAGTTTTTTCACAGTAAAAGATCGATAATTCTGCTATCTCGCTCTAGAAAATAAAGCAAGGATAATTTCGTTCGTCTTTTTATTTTAAAAAAATAGATATAACTATAGAAATAGAAAAAAAACATAATAATGAATATATATATACACAGACAAATAATGTTTATAGATATGTCCTATAAGTACTAGTGATAGTCAATAATAAAAGCGGTTAAAACCGTGTGAGAAGTAATAACATAAAAACGCAAAGTTAACAACAACAAGAACTGTGAAAAGTCCAATAGGAAAAAAATACAAGATTTCAAACGACGTAACAAACCACCGGGACAGATAGGTAGAAGAAAGAAACGTTCAGGGATACTAGACGACATATATACAAAATATTTAAATGTTTGGCGTTTGAGAGAAGAAAAATGGAATTCTTTTATCCAATTCAAAAAAAAAACTAAAAGAAAAAACTAACTAAAAGAAATGCAGAAAAAAAATTGTTTGACAAAAACATATCGAATAAGAGTTATGTAAATAATATCAATAAAAAATAAATATGTTCAGCGCTTTTGACCATGTGTTTTCAATTGTTGAATAACACTATCAAGACGAAAGACACTTTCTTCAGCATGTTCCAATGTTTTTTGTGTTGTACCACGTATACTCTAATAAACAAGAAACATATCAAGTACAGTACACAGAAAGAGTCACATGACTTTTCTTAGATCTCCAGGCTTCATGTGTAAAAAGTTATAATTACTCATATTTCGATTATCAATCTATTGATTTCTTTTTTGAAAATAATGGTTGGACGTTCCACACCTCACTAGCAACGTTTATCTAGCGATTTGTCAGCGCTCCAAAAAACGATGTTATTTAGAACGCAATTTCTCACCATATACTGCCATTTGAGTCTCCTGTTCAGAGGCGGCGGAACTATGGGGACCATGGATACTCTGGCACTTGGAGATTTTGAAAATTTATTTTTTCTTTGCGTTCTTGTCCTTAAGCGTCCATAGTTTCAAAATCATTCCACCGCCTCTGCCTTTGTTCATGTGATAAAGATATGCGGTTTTCGCTGTTCGATAGTCCAGATTTTAATGCATTTTTTCATAACCAAAAAAGTTTGAATTCTCAAAATCGGTTTTCTAGGAAATCTTTAGAAAATCGTTTCATAACTGGAAAAGTTAAGGTAGCAACTTTTTCATGAGTAAATAGCCCAAAGTGCTTCCTTCAAAATGGGAGCACTGCGAGGCCTTGATTATCAGTGATCAGGCTTCATTAGTCAGACTTCATTAGTTTTGTCGCTCAAGGGTAGTATCTAACCATCGGACTGTCCTCTACAAAGCTATACAAGTCACAAATCACTGTCTTTCGTCGTTTCTGAATGGTTCAGTTTTCTCTGAGAATATCATATTTCTTTTTTGATTTCTGGAAATCTCGAAAATGAATGGAAATATATCCCCCTAGAAAGAAGACGTTTCAGTCGTATCTTTGAGTTGATTATGAATATATAAATATATTTTAGAAAAGTAATTATATATTCTGGTAGCGCTTGAAATTCTCTATTAATCTCTGCTTTCTCAGCCTGGACTTGAAATTATTTGCTAACAAATATTTTAAATATTATTAATGTACCCATCTATCACTTCCCAAGGAATTACAGAAGTCTGTAAATCTCACCGCATACATCCAATGTCAAATATTTTTCTATAATATGAAAGTGTTGACAACGATTTATACATTCATATATACTATGCCCAAAAAATATTGAGATTCAATCAGAAAAGACCAAAAAAACACATTTACCATTTTCCTTATCTGCATTTTTACCAGATATTTTTTATATAGTTGTCTGATCAGCCTTTCTTAAAATTCAATCTCCAATATTCACATTCCTTTTCTGTACGGTTTGACGTGCGTTTTTAAAGAAAAATCAAATAAGAGCTTCACATTCTTACTGAGAGAGATTTTGGAACTGAATATTTGTTTAAAAAGATTTTGCATGATCCGTTAGTTGAATCGTAAATTTATATGGATAATTATCCAGCTGTGAATCCTAGTGCTATTGAGAGTGTAGGCTTTGGCATTATACACAAAAGCATCATTCAAATTCTCAAAAACACATACTAGACTTAGGTGAAGGAACATAAAATGCAATTCCTGGGAATGTGATTGGTGAGGTACATAAACAATACTCGAAATATTTGTTAGAAAATAATTTCAAGTCCAGGCAGGGAAAACAGAAATTCATAGAGAATTTCAAGGTTATCGACCACACTGAGTTTTATGCCACTATTTGATTTTGTTAAAAAGATCAATAACCGGATGAAAACCTATATTAGGTGAAATAAGCTATTGGTGGCCATTTTCATCAAATTTTACGTACACCGTAACCGTACCATGAAGTTTAATAAACGTTTTAAGACGAAAATAAAAGGTTTTCTAGAAATTGAAAAATATTTTTATCGAGCTTAAATGCTGAATCAAGTTAAGCGGATAAGATATAGTATAGCAGTTTGGATCGATTTTGACTGAACAAGGAATTTCTTAAATTCTGGTGAAAACAGTCACAAATGGCTTATTTCATCCAATATAGATTTTCACCGGATTGTTGATCTTTTTAACAAAAACAAATAGTGGTATAACACCCAGCATGGTCGGTAACCTAGGTTTTCATTCATTTCCGAGATTACCAAAAAGTTTGTATAGTCCCGATATTTTGAATAAAATAATAGTGGGACTCTTCAAATCAAGGAGTAAAAAGCACTAGAATAAAAATGTACACATTTCTAAATTCTGGAATGCCATCCGGAATAATGATTTTCTAAGTTGTTTCTTTGTTTCGAGTTTTATTCAAGTCAATTGCTATTATCGCTCACACACGGGTGTGTAATTAAACATAAGAACATCTATCTATTTCTTCTTATTCTCGATTTTTGAGTTGAAAACACACATATAGAGTATGGAATATCAACTAATGCAGGATTTTTGAGAAAAAACGAAACTTGTATTCCGTAATATCGCACTGAAATAACGAATCCGAGAAAATGGATCAAAATTTAAAAAAATAATAATAAAAGATATTGTCAACACAAAACAATAACAATATTTTTTGAAATCACAATAGAGAGTGCAAAGTGTTTACATTAAGCAGCGACCACCTTTTGTGCATCAGACACAATAAATAGACTGTCTTCTGATAGACTATTATGTATAAGGAAAATAGTAGTATAGATTCAAACAAGAAACATTTATCTCTCTTTTAATAAAAAGCCTGACAAAGTGCTAGCAAGAATATAAAATAAATTCCAAACTGTCTAGTACTTTTCATATAAACAAGAAATAAACGTTGTCTTTAGAAACAGTCAATTCTTAGTCTCTAATTCTTAATGGCATTTCAGATTTTGTGCAAACATTCTAGAATCGCTTTTTACTCCTTGTGTCAAACTTACTTTAAGAAATCTGTTTGTTTTCTGAGCGCTATCACTCTCACTAACTTCATCATCATAATCGTCCATGTTTCCACCATTTTCTGTTCCTTGATGCTGTTGTCGAAGAAGATTGTTATTGCTGTTCATTTGTAGAGGTGGACTTGGCAGTAATATTGATGTTTCTCCGATGTTCGAACCACCACTACTTCCACCTTTTAGGTTACTGTAAACCATCTTTCTTAAATCATCTAGTGTAATTAAATTACTCATATCATCACATAGTTTATTGTATACTCTTTTTATATGTTCGTATCTTTGAACACATTTTGATTTTGTTTCCATCCATTCAACATAATCTTGATATATTTGAACAATAAATGGATAACATTCGTCTGTAGCAAATTTTTTATATTTGTCATGTAGTTCTTCTAAATTTTTACGTCGACGATAATGTGCATCGATCTGTAAACGATTATATGAATTTAAAAGACGATCACGTCGAAATGATTCATTTAAATCGTGTAATTTTCGAATATAAGTCTCGATTGTATGTAACCATGATAAATATTTTTTATTTCGATGAGATAACCAAAGTGTTTTACTATACGGCTGTGAATCATCGGTTGATTGTCCATCAAAATCATTGTCAATTATTGATAATATTTCTGTTTCACATTTGACGAGTTCTTCATACGGATGTAAACATTGACGTACATAATGACGATAACTCTCTTGAATAATCGAAGCCGATGAGGGACGACCAACAGTCACTAAAAAATAGAAAAGAAATATATCGTCATAATGATGGTTAAGCTCCTCTATTCGTTAACTGCAATAGTTTTGATTAAAATTACCTGGTGAAAGACTATTTTCGTTTGACGATGTTGGTGAGACATTATTATTGAGCAATAAAGCTGAAAAACCAAGAAGTATCTTGCCACTTGCTGGATCACGATTTAAGCCTCCATTGTTATTAATAGGACTCTGACTATTATTATGAGAAACAGGGGATGACATATTGGTATTCCCATTCTGTTGGTTACTATTGCAATCAATTTGCTCTAGTATAAGTTTTAATTCATCAATTGATTTGAATATCATCAATTTTTCTCTTATTAAACAAAGAAATTCGACTAATTTTGATTTTAAATGTTGCTGAATGATTGATGTTGAGCATTGAGCCGTTTGTAATATATTCTGATATTCCATTAATTGATCTTTGATATAGAAAAATGAGCCAATGACATCTTTAGACCAATCGCATGCAGCTGCAACATCATTATATTGTTTTATTGGTTTAACCTCAGGAATTATTATCTTAGGAACATAATTATTATCAGATCGTTCGGTGGAAAATGTATAAAATACCAATGGATTTTCTTTTGATGGTGGTATAGGTAATTGTTCGCAAAATGCTTTAATTGTTATTGTATTTGCTTTTGGAAGTGGATAATGAATATTTTGTATACAACAGTAATAATCACCACTATCATTATTATATTTTTTCAATGAATCATATAATTGTGTTATTGATTGTGATGGTTCAAAATACGTACACGTTAAGTTAAATGTTTTCAGATTTAAATAATATAATGGAACAGTATTTAATAAACGATCGGCTTCACTAAAAAAATCACTAAATTTCATTAATTTTAAACGATTCGATTCTAATAAACGTGGTAATAAAGCTTCTAAACGTCGTTTTAAACTTGGTGATAAACGGCATGATGCTGGTAATGTTTTTGACCATTCAATTGCACCACCAGATGAATTTTGAATACCTACGACCAAAAAAAATGAATAGCTGTTTTCATGACAAGAATAGACGTTTGACCTTACCAGATATAACTCCGTCTGGTTTTTGTACTAATATTTCTTTCATTGTTGTACGATCTTTTCTTGTACCATTAAATGGTGAGAATGGTAATTCTCCGCTTAAAACAAACAATACAAATAGGATAATGTTAACAATTTTCTAGGTTACAAAAATAATTACGTAGCACATTGATAAAGGGTAACACCCAATGACCATAAATCGATTTCAAATGGAAAATCAGAAGACTTGCCATTATGTAGAGCACGAAGATATAAGTCTGGGTGTAAATATTCTTCCTAAATTAATAACGTCAAGTAGAAGTCGTTTTATACTGATATAGGGAAAAAGAACAGATAGTAGAGACACAAACTGTTTATGGCAAATAATAATTGTGTAAAAAAATACTCACTGTTCCAACCAAAGATTTAAACGATAATTCACCCTCATTAACCAACATTTCACGTGCCACACCTAAATCAGCTAGTTTGTACGTTCGTTCGCCATTAAGATTGATTGATAACATGATATTATCGGGTTTAATATCGCGATGAATCTAGCAAAGAAATATAAACATGCTTTTAACAATTAAAGTTCATCTCTGATTCTATCGAAGAAGAAAATCTTGTCAGTGCACCTCTTTTGGAGCTAAAATGTGAAACTCCTTAGATTCTGATTAAACATTAAAAAAAATAACTTTGATATGTAAAGTGTAAACGACAATCAATAAATTGAAAATTTAGTACTAAAAATATAAACAAAATCCAGTCGATATTCGAAATAAAAACATTTTAGTGCCTATTCTGCTCTGAGTAATTATGAATAGAAAAAATAAAAATAGTAAGCCCAATGAACGACATGAAAAAATAGGAACACTCTCACTTTCAGCCCATCTTTTTTTTGATTTTTTGCTTAACAATCTTTTTACTTACAATATTTTTTTCGTGTAAATGTTTTAGACCATACGTTAAATGTTTGAATAAAAGCAGAAAATCATCTTCGAATAAGCCATAACGGTGTTCATTCATTTCTAAAATAAAAATTGAAATGTAAAGATTAAAAAATAGTTACACAGATCTACTGAATACCGAGTAGATTATGTAAACTTCCACCATTACAATATTCGATAAATAGTGCTTCACGATTTACGCGCGAAGATGATGGTGAAGTTGGTGTTGTAACTGTGGCATCAAAAATAACAGGTTCTAATGCAATATAACGTACAATGTTTTCATGTAGAGCTCCTTTTAATATTTTTAGTTCTTTATCTAATATTGGACGAAAATCTTTGTCTCGTTGTGCATTCGGCATACGTGAATTATTTGGTGAAGGGATAACATAAACTTTTGCCGCAACCATATCACCCGTTTGTTTATTATACGCTTTGTACACTTGACTCGTCGCACCATGACCTAATAGATCTTGTACAGCCCAAAAATAATTTTGTGTTTCTTCCACACTCATCTCTTATTGTTCAATTGTTGTGCACAATCACAGTAAAAAGACTGAAGTCAATATAATAAATTGACACCGTCCAAATAATTCTAGAATTTTCAAAAACTAAGTTAAACTGTTTCTATTATATATTTAAAAACGGAAGAAAGTTCATAGCAATCTGACTAACTCATAATGTGTGATTAACTGATTGTATGAAAATGAAGTCTAATTTCCGGCATTACGTGCAATGTAAAAGAAAAAAAGCTGTAGTATAATTTCTTCTGTTTGTATTGTTTATCTATTGTAATTCTTAAGCTCTGTTCTCTAAACAAAGCAGCTCACCTTCAGATTAATCCTGTAAAATTAACGGCATATACAAAGTCACTGCATTTACTGCTGTGCTCTCTTTTATGTTGTTTTTCTGAATCTCAAAAGGAAGTACTCGAGTAAATAAAATGTGTTACTATAAAAAAATAAATCATCAATTCTTTTTATTTTACTTTTATAAAAGAAAAATAATACAGAATAAATATCGTTTTTGACCAACCGTCAACTTAAAAGTACACATGGTCAAAAAATGTTCTCCTTCAACGATTTATCTTCTAACGTAACACATTGTGAATATTTTCACTGAAAAAAGACGTTAAAAATAAATAATTTAACATTTGTTTCACATGCTAAAGCGAGCTTTCAAAATAAATTATATTCATTTCTTGATATAGACTTGATAACAATAACAATAGGAAGTTTTGTTTCAAAAATATCATAATCAAAAAAATATTGTGGAAGACAAATTGACTCAAAGCAAAAAGTAATATGTGAATGAATGAAAGAATAAACCATAAACATACAGAAAAAAAATAAAACAAAACAACTTGCCTTTTCTAATATATAACAGTAAATTCAAATCTGTATATTTCGCATATTTTGGATGTCACATTGCTGTTTTTAAACTATTAATAACCAAAAGTCAACATTACACCTATGATGCCTTATCTCGCCTCGCCTAGCGACGTCATATAAGGTGGACCAGAATTACTGAAACGAATTGACTACTAATCACTACTGAAATGTTTTAGTAATTTTGGTTCACCCTTTATATATTGGTTAACATTAGTATAACTGTAATGATCGAGAATTAAAGTAATCAAGTAATTTTGTTCATAGTAAAAGTTATCGAAAATTTCCATAAACTGAAACTGAAATAAAAATCGTTTTTTGAATATGTTTCTACTAGAATAAAATTAACTACATATGCTCGACATGTGTACAAAAAAAAACGTTCTCTTGGGGATTGTTTTAACAATAGTTATAAGTAGCTTTTACAGCTCTCGAACTCATCTTAGTTAATGCTTCACTTAATTCTAGGTGTTTCATTAAAAGTTTGAAGTAACACCTTACATCTTCGTTCTAATTTAAGTTTGTCTTAACTAAAAAGAACGTGATTTTAGCTTAAGCACTGACCTAAAATTGTCTTAAAATAATGCCGTAAACACACTAAAACGAACGAAACGTTGACATAAGTTTGTGCTTAAGTTTATAAATTTAAGAATGTTGATGACACTTTATTATATCTATAAGAAATATCTCAGTGTAATGGGAAAAGTGGAATGTTCGCTTAAAAGTTAGATAGCATTCGTAGGTTTTTACCTCCGTTCCACCTGCTTATGTAGTATAGGTATATTCCTTCTGATTTACCGTTTTCTCGAGTGTTATGGCGTGGGTGAGTTTTATTCTCCAATGAACGTAGAGAACGGTTTCAACGTCTCAATCCATTGTCATAGTGAATTATCTCAGTGATATTTTCCTTAACTGTTTAACCAAAATTTCAAATAAATGTAGGAAAATTTTTATATTCTCATATTGGAAATAGGTCGAGATCATATTGGATGTTACATACCACAACCATGGTAGCCTCGCTTCTGGTATTGGTCAAAATCCCACAATCATGAAGGAGTTAGGATAGCAAAACTGTCACTCAGTCAATCGAGCAATTTGTTTCTTTTTCAAATTCTCTTCCCGAGCTTTCATATCACGTTTTTTTACTGATTAGTTTGATTTCCCGCTGTGCAATGGGTGTGACAAGTTTTTCTCGCGCTCTCCTCCATTATTCTCTTTTGTGGTCTCGCCCTGTCTGGATTTTTTTGCTTGTTCCAACTTTTTTTGTTAGTATTTACACTTCTAGACGTTATGACCGACATTCACGATTGTATTCCACTAATTTCATACTATACCAGAAGTTAATTTTATTAGATTGTCTTTGGGCAGTCACATTGGATCAACAAAAAATATTAATCGTCCACAAGAATGAGTGAAACTGCGCTTATTAAACGTTTTTCTGAATTGTCAACATCTCAACAAAGTGTGGAAACGATCTCACTTTTTCTTCTGCATCACCGACGTCAATCACAACTAATTGTTCATGTTTGGGCAAAGGAATTAATTCGTGCGCCACCACAGCGTAAAATAGGTAAACTTGATATATTTTTGAACGATTGTTAGCGAAGATTATGAATGAACAATCATATAACTTCTAAAACTATCAATTGCTTTTGTTTTAAAATTGTAGTTTCAATAATAATTCAGAGCACGGACTATTATTTTGTATTGTTTAATTCAAATAATCTTATTTTCTTTGTTTTTAGCGTTTCTTTATGTTGCCAATGATGTTATACAGAATGATAAACGAAAAGGTGGCGAGTTTGTTCGTGATTTTTTACCAGTGTTGGCCGCAGCTGTCGAACACATTGTACGCTGTGTAGATAATGCCACTAGAAGAACCGTGAAACGTATAATTCAAATATGGAACGAAAGACAAATTTATGAATTAGATGCAATTAAATTATTAAAACTGTCGTACGAAAATGGAGTAAATATAAATATTTTAGGCTCTAAAAGCATTTTTATTTGACAGGATTTTTATAAGTCGATATTGAGATTCAAGGCATCGTGGTGTTTATTCAGATTTTATCTAGACTATGAAGCTAACAAAATGAAGTTTTTATCTTTAATTTAGACTCAATCAAACGATACAGTCAATAACAACAACAAAAATAGTAATTCAAATTTATCGGATGAAGTAGATGATAACGATGAAAGGCAAAATGTAGATAATGTCTATATGGCGAACAGAACTTTAAAACGCTCTGCAACTAATAATAACACAACTAATGATGTATCAATCAAACGACGTCGTAAACCCAAACGTAAATTATCATTGAGAGAAGAGACAAGACGTGATTTGGCGATAAATCCAATACCAATTCCAATAGCCGATGAACTCGTTAAAATGTTACAAGAATTAGAAAATTCACCATCATCTGACGCTGTTGTACGTGAAAAAATAGCTGCTCTTCCACCAGAAGTCAGTGATGTTAATTTATTAAAAACCCTTCGAGATAAAGCAGAAGCAATGGAACTATATCAGATTGTTACTGAGGCACATCGTTTATTAGATGAATATAATTTACGCTTAGAAAGTGAATTACGTTCAAGACGATATACAGCAAAGATGTTACAAGGTTTTATTCAAGCACAGGAGCGACAAAATGAGTATGAAGAAAGGTTATACGATGAATATAAAGTGAAATTACCAAAATTAGATTTGATTCGAGAAGAAATTGAACAACATCGTCAAAACATGCCCGATTGTGACCGAATACAAGATGATTTAGCACCATTACCAAGTGCTGGTGATTTGTTTTCAAAATAATAGTGTTTATGACATTTACTTTTACGTACATGTGTTATTCGATCCTTTTGAATGTAGTAAACAAAGGAGTCAAAGCTTTTTTCTTTTAAACGCGATAGAATCGCTATGACCTTAAGACATCAGTGTTCAATTTGTTTATCAAAATAATGGGGCATGTTTACTGCTAGCAGAAGTTTGCTTCCACAAAAAAAAATGCTTTTCATTTAACTAGCAAATTTACAATCTATCTGGGATGCAACCGTTTTGAAAACGGTTAATCAAAATTATAGAAATAAAAAAAAGTTATTACTTCTTGTTTACTTTCGTCATATGTTAGCACACTTTTTAAGGTGCACACAAGTGCTTTTGACAGTATGTAGGATCTGTTTTGTATAGCTTGTTGATTTTTGTCTTATTTTTTCCTTGTACATTAAAATATGTGATCTTGTTGTCGCCGTCGAATATTTTTCGTTGTAACTAAAAATTGAAATAAAATCAAATAAATGATTAAGTGTTAAGTAGCTTAACTATAATATTATATGAAATATTTAAGACGTAAATGATAAAATAATTACATCAAATTTTTATTATTCTACGGTATTACAAATATGAAACAGATGATTGAGGATGATCTTTGAAGTGTACCATTCAACAACGCTAATAATAAACTTTCTCTATAACTGTTATTTTGTCAGCAAGTAGATGTTTTTCTCAAGTAATGCCTATCTAAAAAATCCTAATAATTCTTTTATACATTCATTCTAGGCTTTTATTGAAAAACAAATGATTATTTTTAAGTAAAATGTCAAGTGATCCTGTTGATACTATACTGGTTCTAATCCGATTCGTAACACTAACCGCATACATAAAGTATTAAACTTCATCAGGATCGGAAAAAACGAGCAATGTTCTTAATCACCTTCACAGGGCGAACTCGAGAGACAGCTTCACCTATCTTTTGGTTTAACATTTCGTTAAAACATGTGGTCATACGACAAGGAGAGAATGGAATCTCTTGTATTTGTTCCACTTTTACATCGAAGAAAGAATAGGAAAAACAAATTTTCGGTGATTTTTAGAGTATCTATTTTTATTGATTTCCTTGTTGTTTTATTCGAGTTCAAAATAAGATAGGCTGTTATTCTGCTTGATGCTTCGGTAATAACTCGATCAGGAGAGGAGAAGAAAATCTTCTGAGCTCCGCCTATTTTTAAAACGCTCTATGACTTTCTGTGTCTTCACTTCTTATCTTCTTTTTTTATTCATAATGATTTAGTAAAGTAATTTTATAGAAGTTCCATTGTCTTACAATGTATTAGCATTAGTAAGTTAGGAAATTAGTCAGTTTGGGGCGTTTTTTTTTCATTTTTGTATTATTTCGGTTATGTTGGATCCTGTTTAATGCATTCATGGTGTCGAGTTTTGATTTTAGCATAATGGTTGTTAGCAAAGAATAAATTAGCCTCTCCATATTTTTAACATCCTCTGTCAATTAGCAGAACTTAAATCATTGAATTAGTCGAAAAGTGGATTGTAAATGGGAAGAATTAGTGGAGAAAAATAGTTATGTTTATAAGTCATCCACTCAGAGAAGCAAAATCTGCCAACATTTCTCCGAAAAAAGTGAAGTAATCACATTTTCTTTCTCATTTCTCCTCCACTTTGAATCATGACTGATACTTTGAAAAAACTTTAGTCGATTTTCCTCAATTGCTTTTTCACCTTATTGAACAAGAGCTCAAAAAAGTTCTTTCGATTTTATTTTTCTGAAGAGATAGTACGAATTAAAATTTTGAAAATTGTCTGAAAATACTTTTTTTCTCGAGCGTCGCTCGTGCGCATAGATTCGGTACCTCCGCCTCATTTAAAAGTGGTGCATACCAATTCTAGAATATGAAGATATACTCGAAGTGACATATTCTAAATAATTTAATTTGAGTTGTTGGGATCTGCTAGTTTAGTCCGTATGAGTAAGAACTACATGTATTAATAAAACTTTAGTAGCTACTGATAGTTTGAACGTATATATTTGTTATAAATGAAATTATTTCTCGCAAAAATGCGCAAAAATAATAAATGATTGGAAGCGAAAAAAGTAAAAATATCAACTATAATATAAATAAGTATCTGTATAAAAAAACATTGTAATCAAAAATAAATACACTAATTTCACAAATAGATAATAGAAAAAAAAAAAGTATAATAAATATACTGAGAAAATCTTAATGTTTCAATTAAGGGTACGAAACTTTCCTCATTCACGAATTTGCTCTATCGTTGATCAAATTACGTAAATCTTTTGCTACTTGATCAAGTAGTTTTTTATCATCTTTTTCGGATTGTTGACGAGAACCAAAAGGAAAAAATGGTCTTGCACGTTTCAAACCTTCTCGCATTCTAAAACAAACGTATGCATATAGATAATCTGGGGGTGAAAAAAAAATAGAACAAATGAGATAAGTACACACTTTTCCACGACGATTAATGCTGCTTGAGGTGTAACACGCGCAAATTGTGCGTCTTCTTTTCCAAAATCGGTGAGATACTTGTTCCAATCTTTATTTATAACTAGATCAAGTAACTAAATAAGAAATATTTGACGACTAGTGTTCTTATCGTAATAGTTTCAACTCACTTGTCGTAAATCTTGGAAATAGAGTAATAATGTACTATTGTCCCAATTTGGAATTTGAATGCACGAAGCAAAAACTGAAAAATAGAACATTGAATTATTTATTAATAATTCTAAATAAAATTTTATTACCTTCACATTGCATAAGATCAAGTTCAAATTGTTGTAAAGCACCAAGCGATATCGCTTTGACATCTGGACTAAGTAATATATTCATTAATGATGTAGAAATGTGTTTACACGCAGATGAGCATGTTGTTTGGGATAGTTGGGTCTGAAACGAAATATTTACTTAATTTTATTTTAAATGAGGAAACAATAGATTGTTATTACTACTGAATTTATATTCGGGAAATGAGAGAGTGATTAAGCATAAGAGAGGAAGATATGTAATAACGTTTTAGCCTCGATTCCAAAAGTTATTAAGCAATAGACAAAAATCTAAATTATTTTAGCATTAGTCTATTAACAATAGCAGCAGATTATTGTTTTGAAATTGACATGAATAATTGACATCCTGTGAAAATTTCCCTCAATTTCTGACTACTTACTTTTCGCTGTTGAAATGAAGAGAAAAAGAATGCAAACAAATACTTTGTGCAAAAAGGTGGGTACAACATACTGGTAAATGTGTGAATGCACGGAATGTAGTTTCAAGAAATTGTATTGTCGTTTGTATGTAATTACTCGCAAAGCCGGCGGGTTCAGGCATTAACCAATCGTATGAAGCTGAACAAAAGAAAGCGGCCAAAATATTATTTTACCTGCTAATTAGAAAACAAACAAATAGCGTGCCTATATCAAGACATTGATCAATTTTATCGTTTAATTTATCATAAATACGATCTTCTACGAGACTTCTTATATCCTATTAAAATTAAAACACAAAGAGAATGAATCATCATATATATTTGAATTGAAATGATTTACTTTGAGCATTGATGGACCTTGCAACTTCAAACTAATTTGTTTGGCATTTCCACTACAAGAAGTCAATTAAGTTTTTCCAATTTCTCTAGTAAATATAGTTACTCACTGTACTAAAGCGGCAATATAATCATCAAGAAATGGCATTGAATTTTCCAAATGTAATGTATTTATACATATTTGAACGAGCTAAAATGTGTATAAAAAAAATGGTATTACAGCTATAAAATCAAGAAAGCTTTTTCAATGTACTTGTGAAAAAGTTAATTGAGATTCTGATTCGGTTCCTGTTAATTCAACTAGACATGTTTTTAATATTTTTGTTAAAAGTATATTTGTTGGTTTACGAATCATATCGTCCACATCTGTTTTACTTAAAATTAAACAAGCAAAAATATTATCGTTTTTCTGATAAAAAATACAGATAAATGATAGAAATATTACCTAATATTTAAACCTTCGGCAAATTTTGAACACACAAGTATGAATTCTTTAATTTCTGAATATAAATTTGGCACAGATTCACTATAAGGTAAAGTGCGTGGAAATGGTATCTAAAATTGAAATATAAGTTTTTGAAGTAGTTATAATAATTTATATTTTAATACAAAGATAAACACCTTTTCAGTTGCTTCAATTCTCATCGGAAATTGTCGCAATAGTCTCTGATATTGTTCTTCATCTTCAATTATTAACGGTGTATAAGTATCTTTTGTTAATGTATCACGACAACGTTGCCCCCATTGTGATAATAATAACTGATGATAATTATCTCTAAAATAGATGAAAACAAAAAAATACACTAATATATATGTTTTATTAAAAATTTTTATACCTTAATTCCATAATGACATCTAACAACGGTATTACTGGAAATCCCGATTCCTAAAACAAAAAAGTAATGTGAAAACATTAATAATATATTGTTAAATAATCTATATTTCAATAGATCGATAATTGAAAGTATATCTAACTGTTTTATAAAGAATAAAAAACTTTAATTAATTAAATACTTACTTTAATAGCTGCACAAAATAAAACCACAACAATTTTCATATCCAACATTAATTCAGGATTATAAGATTTTAACTAAATCGATAAACAAATATGAACTATTGATCAAATAAATATTCTAAATTAAGCAAGCATGAAGCAATACTAAAAACTAAGCTAAAATTATCTTTTAAATTTAATTAAAACAAAATTTTTATTTAATCTTTTCTCATTCATATTTTTAGATTATATGTTCAGATTATAAATAAAAATTAAATAGAGCTATATACCTCATTTGGTTGCATGCAAAAAGTCTATAAGACACTGACATTGTTTAGAAGAAGAAAAAATTTAGAATAACGCTATACTGGTGAAAGTTTCTTTTACTTCTCTTATGGTAATATAAGTGAAAGCCAAAATATCTTAGTATTAACAGTGAGACTACTATCTATTGTGATTTTTTTCGAAAATGACAAGATAATATTCAAAGACAGATAGAAAAAAACAAACAATTGAGATCTATCTTACCACAGCTAATCTTAAAACAGCTAGTAATTGTTGTATAGCTTTTTCACAAAGGTCATAATAAAAACGTTGATCAATCACACCATCTGTTGTATTCAATACATGATCTTCAATAATAAAAAATCCTGTTACACGTTGTAAATATTTTTTAAATGAATCAAATGATTCATGCATTTTTGGCGGTGTATCCATAATGACTGGTGCTTGTTTTCGTTTTTCACGTTGATAATGTTTTGAAAAATCATCTTTTAAATTTAAAAATAAATTTATATGTAAACTTTTATACATTGATGAAAAATCAATTAATTCTGTTATATTTGTATCGGTCATTGTTGAATCATTTGTTTCATTTGATTGTTGTTGTTGTTGTTGTTCTTTTCGTCTATCTTCTTCTAACATATAATAACGTTTATCTATATTTAAACGAGAAGATGCCTAGAATAAGAATATTATTTCTAATAAATATATTAAAATCGAGTCACTATTCATATACTTGTGCAAAAGCACTTTTTCCAACTTTATCAGCATGTGTAGCAACATTTTCTAAGAAATTTTTTAATTCATTGTATGATTCATTCCGAATAGCATCACGAAATTTGGCAATATTTTGTTGAATAATTTCAGACCAACGATGTTCTTTAACAAGAACTAAATGTTTTGTTTCCAATTGTTCAAGTAGTTTTAAAGCTGGATATAGTCTAAAAAAGAGTAAACTATAAATTATATTAGAAAATAAATAACACTAATTACTTACTTTTTTTCTTCCATACATTCTTGAAGTTTTCGATATGTTTCGAATACTAAAATGAAATAGAAAATTGAAAAAATAAAAATTCAGATGATTTTTTTCTCTCTTTTTATAGGACTGAATAAAATTCATACCAGGAAATGCCTGAGATAAGGCTTCTATTGTTTGTTGTATATTACGCCGTCGATTGTATTGTTGGATGAGTGATTCTGTTTTTTCTGCTAAACTTTTTCCAGCTGTTTGCATCATTTGATTATTTTTAACAAGTTCATTCTAAATACAAACAATAGAAACGAGGATAAGTACAGATATGTAAAATCCAATTTTTTTTTTATCTAATAAATACCTTCATACTTGTTGTATCTTTTCGCACTTGTAACAATTCATGAAATGCTTTTACAAAATTTTGATATTGAAAATTACATAATTTTTCAATTTCTGAATCGTAATATTTAATGCGATCATCTAACTTACGTAAAAATTCACTTGAATCATTCTTGATAAATACAGAACTGAAAAATAAAAGGAGAGTTGTCTAACCCAATTAAAAGAAGAGAAAAATTTGTATGTATACCGAACACATGATGTCAATTGAGTACTATCTGATGTTTCCAGTTGTCGGAGAAGATTGTCCAAATACGTGTCGGATACACGAGACTCACTATTCATCTTAAATAAGAATTTAATCTATTTTTCATTCATTTTGTTTTAAATCGAATGATTAGTAAAGAGTAAAACTATGTATTTGTTGTTTTTTTTTTGTCCATTATATCTAGTGTAAGAAATCTTACAATTATTTTGCCATATCTTTTTATACTTTGTCTATTGTTACACACACCTTTATTAAACAATCAAATAAAATAAATCAAAGACGGTCTACACACAGAAACGAACATTATCATCGTAAAAAGTAAACATTTACAAAAAGAAAAACCGAGCAGTATATGAACTTAAGATAAACGGTGAAAAAGAGAGAGCACAGTTTTTGTATATAAACAACTGAAAGAACAATAACTATCAATAAATTTAGAACCGCGGATCCATAATAATGTGCACGATAAAAAATAATAATAGCTATTACAAAAAAAAACAAAAGATGAGAGAATGAAGTAGACTATAAACAGGCGTGTATTTATTGGATCGTAAACATGATGCCAGTGAAAGGTGATATATATATATAATCTAATTTTACAGACTACATTCACAAATGCATTGAAAACTGGCCATTCACCGATAAAATAAATAAAATTAAATGAGTACAAACAAAATTTTCTAAGCATTCTTTTATTTTTTATTTTTTTGTTTACTTCAAGCAAACATAATTACAAGACAAATGAAAAATGGTCTACCATTAAAAAAAAATTTTTTCTTGTGGAATGTGAGCACACGCTAAAAATGTTTTCGATATTGTTGACAAATGATTCAAATTCATTAATCTGAAAATTTGCGTATGTGATTAATTTATTCAAAACTTTTTTGTCCGCTCAATTCAGTGCCAATTTTGTACGCTGTTATTTTAGTCCAATCAATTTTAGCCTTTGTTATTGGTAATTGTCGACGAAGTGCTTTAAAAGTTGACTCCGACATTGCTTGATAATTTTCATTAACAGCTTGCTAAAAAAAAAATGAAACAAAAATGCATTTTATACATCTAACAAGACCACACAAATGTTATTTTACTTGATAATTATCCTCGGCTTGTTTTATAATTCTAATCATTTCTTTAGTTGTTGTATGTTCATCCTAACATGAAGGAAAGAAAAATATTTCATCTTTGAATCCGGCTAAGCAAGTAACAAACCTGTATACTAATTGATTCACTGAAATCTTTACTGCTAACTAACTGAACATTACCATCTTCATAATAATGAACCTTAAAAAGAAGAACAGGAGTTAAATAGAAGTCATCTGCTTTCGGTATCTTACGTACTTGAGCTTTAACCAGTCCTTTAAACTCGCATTCTGATTGTCCTTTGCTAAAACTGATTGACCAATTTGATCTCCAACGACCGTTCCTAAAATGATACATATAGTTTATATTGCATTATAGATAACTTCCTTCATCGATTACCAAAAATTTTTTGGTTCATATTTATGACTTTCGATAAATGCAGTTAACGATATTGTATCACCATCACTTGCGCCAACAATTGTACATGCACCATATGGATAACGTTCTTTAACATAATCTGTTAATTCTTTTTCAAATGCTACACGCCACGGTTCCGATTGTTCATCCGGTTGATGTGGTTGATATTCGGACGCTTCACGACGTAAATGATCAAATCTAGAAAAAAAAAAGAATTTCAATTGCTCTTGAGATGGACAAAATTCAATATAGAACACCTACTTGAATGTTTGTCTTGTTCTCGGATCAAAAAATCTTCCATCACCTTGATCAGTCACTTCTGTTATTAGACATTCTTCATCACTATTCTGAATTTTTGTTGGAATATATTGATCTTTATTATATTCAGCAAATGCTCTAAAATGAAGATTAGAACATTGATAAAGTCAACTTGATACTAAAAGTCCTAATCAAAGTTGAAGTTTGGTATCCTTACTTAGAAACAGACTTTCGAACAAGATTATCATCATTTAACAATGTACGAACATCTAAACATAACAGAAACAGTCCATTGTATTTAAACTAACATTTTTAAACTGATTTCGTTTTTCTTACCATTAAATACTTCGTTAAATTCTCCTGGCGGCGCATGTGCAATAAAACGTTTAGCTATGCCAGCCTGTTAAAAAACAAAATTAAACATAATTTTGTCATATCGCTAATTGATTCAACCTTACCTTTTGTTCGTCGCTTAAAGTTTCACTCATGGAAACAAAAACTTTAAAATAAATGTATAAGAAGGTTAATAACAAACTTATGAATCTAAAATCGAGAAAATTTATTCGAGATTTAAAAAATGATGGCAATATAACTTTTCTACATAAAAAATTACTTGTCTAGATGAAGGAAGTCAATGAGAGAGTCTATCTTTAATGGTAGATAATATCAGCGAGTCTATTGCCTATAGAGCATTTAGTGAATAACAAAAATTTTAAATGACTAATACGTTTCTTTGATGAAAATGACAACAAATAATAATAAACAAACATATATTATTCCAGTGATTGTCCTACATCTTGTTGTTGAATGATACCTTCCGTAAATGGTTTTTGAGCAATATCTTCATAGTATTTTCTTACTTCAAACAATACAACACTCAGAGCAATACCAACATTCAGAGAATCAACATCATTCAGTAATGGTATGTATACTAGAATAGATTAAAAAAAGAAATTGAAAAGAATTAGATAATAACAATAGCTCAACGCAAATTTCTCACCCATTTTCCCCGAATGTTCAATGGTTAATTTTCTAGCTTGATTACTGATGCCTTCTGTTTCTCCTCCAATTATAATTGTCGTATGATCAGATGATTTTGTTTTATTGAATGCTTCCCATAATGGAAGATATTCAATTGGTACATCCCTGTATAATGGCAAATATCGATTATCTTGCTTCATATATGAACGATCTTCTATTTTCATTCGTTTATTATCGACTGTGTTACGTCCATCACGTTTTCGATCTTTAATTTGTTTATCTATCATTTCTTTAAATAATGATTTTGCAGCGGCTAAATGAATTATATAACAACATCTAACCTAAATAACCACTACAATTGATTTGTTTTTTTACCTTCATCCTTTGATTTTGTGTCAGATGATGATGATTGCAGTTCTGGCGGATCCATTGAATATTTGTGATCAGCCAAATAGATTTGACTTGTATTAGGTATATAATTCACTAATGTTTCCCAACCAATTTCATTTACCATTGGCAAACGAAAATGTGCACCCATACCCGACCGTATCACTTTAGGATCCCAAATGTCAACGCAACCTAAATGATGCAAATTTATAAATTAAAAGATGCTGCTTGAAAGAAGCAACAAGTAACAATGATTTACCTTTCGTTGCGATCAGCCTATCACATCCAACAGACGCACATGTTCTTATTATTGTTCCCATATTTCCCGGATCTCGCACATTATCACAAATAACGGTAATTGGTAGTTCAATCCGTTGTTGAAATGGTGTTTCGCCTGGTTTTGGCATTGTAAATAGCGCTGAAATACAAATTGAACGACAAAAAATCCAAAATACTTTGAGATTTAACATGTCACAACTATTTACCCATAATACCTTGATTTGTTTGTACATCTGACCATGTTTTAAATGCTGTTGTCGATACTTTGTAAACATCAAATTGTAAATTTGTTTGAGAAAAGTCGATTGCCTACAAAATATTGGATAATTCATTTTAAATGGTTTGCTGAAAAGAAAAGAAATACGCCCAGTGAGTATCAAGGGGATGGGGAGCGAAGACGATGAAATGTTGGTTCAGTTTCTTTTAACTTACATCTAATATTTTTTTATCTGTAACATAAACGGATAATAATTCACCGCCTGCTTGTATCGCATCGGCAACCAAACGTTTTCCTTCCAGGAGAACGAAGGCTTTTTTATAACGATCAAAACGATTTTTTGCTTTCATTATACGTGAACTATAAATAAGAATTTTAAGTAAGTTTTGTCTACAAACAAATATTTTTTAAAATACCTAAATCGAATATCATTGTCTTTCAGTGAAACGATGCGTTGCAATGGATTTTTCATTGTAGCTAATTGATCAAGAAATGCTGGATCACTTGTAATTTGTTCACGTAGTGGATCAAAACGATCGTAAATCGTATTCAGATCAACATTAGATAAACTAGCACCTGAATAAGTGAAAATAGAGATATCTATGAGAAATTGTCTCGAACAAAAAAATTTACCTGGTTTAGATGCAGCTTTTTTTGTCCGTACTCTATTCTGGCGTAACTTTCTATTTGGTTGACGTTCTTTTTCGTTTTCCGATGGGATGGGATTTGCTGTTGTCGTTTTCACAGGTTTACGGTAACGTATTTCCGTAGCATATCGATAATGATTTAGTAACATGTCTGTCATTCCATTATCGCGAAATATTTTCTCGCTATTATTGCATGCTAATATTGATGCAGCACGTTGAATTAGAAAAGAATAGCTTAATCGGTTAGAAAGACAGAAACTGCCCACTCGTGATACCATCTGAAAAACTGTCAGACATTAAACCTCTGAAGATGTCAAGCCTTACAGTGTTAAGTATTTAGTTTAAATAATCGTGTGAATTTAAGTGTTATGGCTCGATTTTTTAATTTTCTATGTTGAGTTTAGGTCTTCTACATCAGTTTCTCACCGAACATAACTCAAATATCTTTTACTTCTTTTCTTCTTCTTTTTATATCTGTCGTTTACTACTTAGTTCGGTACTTTAAACAACAATGACTATTCAACATGATAGATGACGTCTCAGTTCGGGAGCAGACTAATTGTGAACTGTCTCATGTGATACGCCCTTTTTTGATTCTTTCTCCCTACATTCAAATTCAAAAATGTTTATGTTAGTAGGTTTCAAGTTCAACTTATGAATATCACAAAATATCGTCATTGAGAAAAGAAAGAGTTCAGGACTGCCGTCAATATACTTAATAGTGGGAGGAGGATTAAAGGATTACTGCCAGGAATATTATATTACAGAATTTGTGAAAACAGGAAGTGTTTATGGTGTGAAGATGATATTACTTTATTTATTTTTCCTAGAAAAATTGGACTCGCTCCTCCGCACCAGTAGTAGACGTTGTAGATTTTAATGCAAGAATAAACTTGTATTGTATTTTAGCAAATTCTCATGACTAGTGATATCCCCAACGGGGAGGAGGGGGGTTCCGATTTTTTAGACATATTTGACAATTTAATTTTTGGTAAGCATTAAAAAGTTAAGATAAGCTGCAATGTAGTACTATGATACCTTTTTGTGCTCCCATACCATAAAGATACGTCCTTAGGGCCTTCCGTAAATCGAATGCTGTTTCATGAGAAAATGCCGTACAGAGGAGCTCGTCTCATTTTGTTCAGAAATGTTTGCTCTATACGGTGAAGTTACTTGCAAAAAATTTCTCGATTGAACTTGGAGAATTGTTTTTCTGAGATTTGAGTTTTCAAGAGATCCTGGTTTTAAAAGTTTAGATAGAACCTTTGTATACACCACATCAGATCAAAAATTGTTTCAGATGTTCAAATCTTTTTTCAAATTTGTCCTAACTATTATGGTCGACGAGAAAAATGAAAAATAAAGGTGGACGAATAATTTTTCGACCTACTGTAGGTTTACGCGGCGAAGTATTTAATACACAAAAGCCGCTGTCAAGCTTCGTTAAGTTTCCTATTAACATACATTATAGAGCTGCTTACTTTGTAAGGTCGTTTCGGTAACAATGGTATTCCTGAATAAGTATTTGCTTAGTTCTAAAACTATCAAAGTAACGTTCCAGTTATTGATGATCGAAGTATAAAAGATTTTATATGAACGAATTTTTTTGCTAGTTTATTTTATGGTATCAGTGTGCGGTCAGTGTTAGTATTTGTGCACTATTGACTATATTCAGTGGAGTGTTTCCGAATTTGATCAAGTTTGCACCTCTTCTGATTGACTGGAGAATAGCACGTAAGGTAGGAAAATTCAACGGTATCTAACGGTTCAAAATGTGTTTAAACATGTATTTAATAGGCGACGGATCCACTAAGACTCGTGAGGCTCGAGTCTCACCTGATTTCCGCCCATTCAGACTCAACCTCACCTAATTTTGGACTTGATATTCCGTTACAGCACATAGTTTTCAGGACCTTTTATGCACTTGTGTTAGTTTCTGTCTTTGGAGTTCAAGTTCAAGTTCAAATTTATTTTGCATAAGCAAGAACATCACAAAAGAAAGTAAACGTTTAGTAACTTATAACATCTGATAAACAGAAGCCTTAGTGATACCTGTATAACTAAAAACAAACAAAATAAGAGAGCATTCCTCAATGAACAAACAGAAGATAAAATAAATACAGATAGAGTTGTTTAAGTCAAATCCAATTCTCGTCGAAGCATCTCCTTTGTGACTATTCTGAAGTGCCAAGGGTGAAGGGAGATTGTTCCATTCTTTAGATGTTTTTGGTATAAAAGAACTACGAGTGGTTTTAAGCTTAAAGTTTGGAATTACTACCCGTCTGTTATGTCCTCGGCGTAAAGTCTGACGAGTGGTAAGAGGTGAGATAAGCTTGTGAGAAGAAACAGAACTTCTACCGTGATAGATTTTATGAAAGTAAGTAAGCTTGTAATACTGACGACGCACTGATAAAGACAATAGTTTCAGTTTTTTGAGAACTGAAAACATACACTTCTCTGATAACTGTTGTTAATAGCAATCGTATGCATCTAGCAATTATTGATTCTTTTATTTTGAGAAGCCGAAGCTTTGAATTACGATCGTAATTATCATCAGCTATAGTTTACAATAAGGGAAAAATAAGATTGAGAAAACGATCGAATGTATATATAGTTGTGTTTTTTATTGTAAACTATAGCTGATGATCATTATAGATTGTAATCGAAAGCTTCGGTTTTTTCAAATAAAATATCAATGTTTGTTGTGTGTATACGATTGCTATTATCTTTACTGAGTTATATTCCAAGAAACAATATTGGTAAGGTGTGCGTAATACAAACTTGCAGTAAAAAAAATTTCCCAACTTATTATACATTGCTGGATAGAGCTTATCGAGCTGATTAAGGAAATTAATTTTTTAATTTTTCAAAAACTTTTTTCCATATCAAAACATTATAAATACTTGAAAGATGTAAAAACTCGAGAAATCCTTCAAGTTCAAACTACCTTTAATATCTTGGCTCTAGATCGTTTTAAAGTCTTTAAGCAATTTTTTTCGAATTCAGCGATAAAAACCCAATATAAAAGATGTTTGATGAATTTTGAATTTAAAAACCTGTCGAGCATGGACATCCCAAACCAGCCCTCCAAAGTTTTTTTGAACTTGAAAGATTTTTCGGGTTTTTACATCCTTCAAGTATTTTTATGTGTTAACATGGAAAAAAGTTTTTGAAAAATTAAAAAATCCATTTCCTTGAACGTATTTTTTGTAGTAGAAAGTAGTACGAAACATTTCCTTATTCCCAAAGCTTTCTAGAAAACCTTTTAAAAACCAAAGTACTTTCTGTTTGCTTTTAAAACTATTATGAAAGTTCATGGCGTAGCACAGATAAAATGGAGTATCTGTCGATATTTTGAAACAGTTTGGAACAATTTTGAATGAATTATGAATTTTTTAATTTTTGGTGAAAATAGTGAAAAATAGATTATTTCGTCTGGTAAAGGTTTTCACTAGTTTTTTAAGGTTTATTGAAAAAGAAACATAGCAATAAAAATTCAGCGTGGTCGATAAACTATGTTCCACGTGTTTTGAAAGTTCCCTGACAAAAAGTTTAGCTGCTAGGTAGGTGCTCGGAAAATGCCTATGGCTCCTAAACCATGGTGGAGGTAAAAGCATGGGACTTGCGTAGTTTCAACTGTCAGAATCACATGGTTCTAGCTCTTTCCATTAAAAAGTTATTCAAAAACTACTTTTTTCCATTCTATTTTGAAATGGATAGTAGTAAAGTTCTGCTGTTCTTAGCATTCTAACCGCATAAAGCCCATATTGTTCGATAATATTCTGTGGTGCAGATAGTTCCAAACTCGGCTTGTTTGAGCGGAAGCGTAGTACTGGAAACCGGGTCGGAATTTCTTGGAATTGTAGGATCTTACACAACTCACAACTGTATAAATGAAATAAAATCGAGATATGTTTTTAATTACACTGTTTTATATTTATGTTTCTAATTCATCCATAAACTTTGTTATATTTCTAAGAGATAAACGAAATAAACAAGTAAACAGTACCCAAAGTAGATGCGGAAGCCATGTCTTTTTCTCACGCTTTTATGGGTGTTACAAAAAGAGTATTGGCTCTGAACTATCGAGACACAGTCGTTTACTGTGTCTCGACAGTTTAGAGGTAGAGCGTTGTTCTTGATAACGGATATCCTGGGTTCGATTTCCAGTCGAGACATGCTCTTTCTGTTTGTTTGTTTATCAAATTTTAGCCACTATAAAAAACTGTTTAACGACATTCAGTCTTAAAAAAAAAAGGTGGATAAACCTAGTAAAAATGAGTTTGGGGAACATCCAATTTAGCTATAATTATACGAAAGTAAAATACTCCGATCTCCCTCAGAACAGAACCAAACCGCTTAAAACTCTCAGAATATGATCAGGCGAGTAGATTGAATAGTTAGAATACCAAAACAACTCTAAATTAATATATTCTCTTACGATGGATTTCTATAAAACTTCTGAAAATCCCCATAATAAGAAAATAGATGTTTTTACTTTTCTAACTCTCTCAACATGTAAATCAAGGAAAAGACAGTATTTTCTGGGAGTTCTAAGCGTTTTGATTTTGTTTTTGAGGGAGATTCGAGTATTTTACTTTCGTATAATTATAGTTAAATTGGTGGATGTTCCCCAAACTCATTTTCACTAGGTTCACCCGCCTTTTTTTTCTAAGACTGGTCACATCGATCTTGAAATTTTGAACTTGTCGGTTTCTGGCAAATTTCATGAGTTCTAAAATGATATATAATAGAAAAAGGTATATTTTCTTGTATGAGGGACAAAGGGGTTACACAAGCGAGGACTGTCCACTATATTGTATATGTGCAATTACTCTAAGTGTCCTACTACTGTCAAAGCACTGCAGTTAACTGTTATTTTACATACATTCTGTAGAGAATTTGAAGGGCTATCCAGTGATATAACAATGAAGTAGATCGATTATCAACCTTATGCGATCCCCTCCTTGGTTTGTGATGTTCATTAACTGTATAAAATTGTCTTGTGCATTGCTTTTAGCTGCCTCATTTGAAGACGAGTGACCGATGCATCAAGAAAAATTTGAGAAAGTAATGTAACCTTGCAATTAGATTGTAATATTCAGGCTGTACAGTGTGTGTACCAGAGTTGCCAGATGGTCCACAATTTGTCCGCTGCCTGCTATTTGTCCGCATTTTAAGCATTTTCTGCTTTTGCCGGTTTTCCCCTGTTCATATAAGATTTAAAAAAATTTTTTCCACCTATTAGGCATTCTCTTCCTCATCCTTCTGCCATGAA